GTAAATCAGACTTGTACGACAAATTAGATACTCAATATCTCACGAATAGAACGACCAATCAACAAGTCCTCGGTAGGGCAAATGTAAAAATGTACTCTGAAAACATCTCACTAAATAACAATATCATGCTGCCACCAGCGTTACGTACGACTGGTCCGAAAATTGACATTTCCTCCAGAGCACAAACTGCATCATAGATTTAAGACGAATTAGATATAAAATATATCACGAACGGGAACATCATTCATTAAATCCATTCAAGAGTATACTCCAAAATATATACTTAAACGTCTCACAAAATTGCAAAAGACTTGTATGTACCAGTATAACGTACGACTGGTCGGAAAATTGACATTTTCCTCAAGAGCGCTAATTGCATAAGCGATTTAAGACGAATTGGATATTATATCCCCCTAACAGATAAGTCAATCGATACATCCCTCCTTTGGCAATCGTAAAAATATATACATAAACGTCTCACAATATATCAAACTAGTCGCTGCTACCAGTGCGATGTACAGCTGGTCCGAAAATTGACATTCCGTACATGGCCCAAAGTAAAATCAGACTTGTACGACAAATTAGATACTCAATATCTCACGAAAAGAATGACCTATTAATAAGTCCTCGGTAGGGCAAATGTAAAAATGTACCCTGAAACATCTCACTAAATAACAAATGACATGCTGCCACCAGCGTTACGTACGACTGGTCCGAAAATTGACATTTCTCCTCCAGAGCACAAACTGCATCATAGATTAAGACGAATTAGATATAAATATATCACGAACGGGAACATCATTCATTAAATCAATTCAAGAGCATACTCCAAAGTATATACTTAAACGTCTCACAAAATTGCAAAGGACTGGCATGTGCCAGTTTGACGTACGACTTGTCGGAAAATGGACATTTCGTCAAGAGCGCAAATTGCACAAGCGATTTAAGACGAATTGGATATTATATATCCCCCTAACAGAGAAGTCAATCGATACATCCCTCCTTTGGCAATCGTAAAAATATATACATAAACGTCTCACAATATATCAAACTAGTAGCTGCTACCAGTGCGATGTACAGCTGGTCCGAAAATTGACATTCCGTACATTGCCCAAAGTAAATCAGACTTGTACGACAAATTAGATACTCAATATCTCACGAATAGAATGACCAATCAACAAGACCTCGGAAGGGCAAATGTAAAAATGTATCCTGAAACATCTCATTAAATAACAAATATCATGCTGCCACCAGCGTTACGTACGACTGGTCCGAAAATTGACATTTCCTCCAGAGCACAAACTGCATCATAGATTTAAGACGAATTAGATATAAAATATATCACGAACGGGAACATCATTCATTAAATCAATTCAAGAGCATACTCCAAAATATATACTTAAACGTCTCACAAAATTGCAAAGGACTGGCATGTGCCAGTTTGACGTACGACTGGTCGGAAAATTGACATTTCGTCAAGAGCGCAAATTGCATTAGCGATTTAAGACGAATTGGATATTATATATCCCCTAACAGAGAAGTCAATCGATACATCCCTCCTTTGGCAAACGTAAAAATATATACATAAACGTCTCACAATATATTAAACTAGTCGCTGCTACCAGTGCGATGTACAGCTGGTCCGAAAAGTGACATTCCGTACATAGCCCAAAGTAAATCAGACTTGTACGACAAATTAGATACTCAATATCTCACGAATAGAATGACCAATCAACAAGTCATCGGAAGGGCAAATGTAAAATGTATCCTAA